TCAGTGATCTAGGATACTTGTTCTTCAATGCTGTAGGCAACAAAGCTTTTTGAGAGAGCAAGGTCTGTTGGTCTTCTTCAGTGAATATTGGGGGGAAATATTATTTAGGAGAAAAATAGCACAATTAATTTGAGTGTATCAAAGTACTGCTTGTTATGTGATGCTGTTGGTTTTGTCTGTGTATCTTGGTAATATAACAGAGTGGCTATACTGAGTTAAAAGCTTTGTCTTCAAAGTGTGTCAGAGCGAAAATTGCATACAAAACATCCTATTTCTAAATAAGTAAGCAAACATCAATTAAAACACAGACAATAACTTGCAGTCATGCGGTATTGTGTCAGTTCTGTTGTTGGATGGGAGGGAAGAGAGCCCTATTGTCCTGGATCAGGCTTATAACTCAGTCCCATTGTAAAGCTTTGTCACAAAAGCTTTCTCTCTCTCTCTCTCTCTCTCTTACTTTCTCTCTTTCTTTCTGTTGTATTCATCTGGAACATGACAGGTTGACAGGCAGAGTGGAATCTGCTGTTTCGGAAGGCCTGCTAGAATATCTCACAAGTGTGTCTGTTCACTGATTTGATAGAACTTTTTGAAAAAGTGGGTTAAAGGAAATGTGCAGTTTTGATTTATGCATTTATTTGTTGTATTTGTATGGTATTTTTTCCTCATGGAACTGCAGGTGACATATATGGATTTCTTCCTCCTTACAACATCAATGTTATGCTTTGCTAGCATTGTAAGGTCCAACAAATTCCTCTCTAGCCTTACAGACAATTTCATTGTACAAAAGATGGAGCATGCTGGTTTTCTGCTGCTCGAAAGACAAGAATACAAACAAATATATTCAAATTATCAGAAGAAGATGTCACGTAAACATTAGGAAGAACACCTTTACTGTAAGAGCTGTTCATCACAGGAATAGATTGCTGTGTGTGTATGTGTGTAAGGGTGGACTCTCCATCTTTGGAGGTCTTTAAACAGGTTGGATGAACATCTTTCAAGAGTGCTTTTGTTGTATATTTCTGAAAGGCAGATATGATGTCCCTTTTTGGTCTTTTTTGGTCTTTTAATTCTAAGTTCTAAGATTTCCAAGTCATCATCTATCAGTCTGACTACGATACTACATTTCTGTCCAGTGTCTCTCTACTGGATCTATGTAATGAAGTACTGAGGACTGTGTGTTGTTGTTTTATTAAAAAAAATTAATGTCTTCTTCATGGTCTTTGTGACTCACACAAATCGGTTACTGCACCTGGCCCCCACCCTCTGGTTCATGTAACCAGCCTGATTCCCACTTAAAACCTTACTTCCTTTTTGACCATGATAACAGTAGTGAGAGGAGGTTCCTCCTGTTACTTCGTCATGTTGAAGAAAGGTGAGAGACATCATCTTGACATGTCAATTGACATCCTTTGACATGTCAATTCATTCATCAATCCCAAGTGATTCAGGATATTTCATCCTTCCTCTGTTGGAATAAGGAGATTATTTTGCAATGCTGAATATGAAAGATGCTTACTTTCATATCGGTATCTGTCACACAGGCACTGCCTTTCTTTCACTGTAGGAAAAAGGGCCTGTCAGTTTGAAGTTTCTTTCTACCACATCTTGAGTCTTTATAAAATGTATAGAAGTGCTGGCAACCAGACTCAGGCTGCACCTACATGGCCATATAATGCACTGTGAGAATCACATTAACCTGGTGCATCCATACAACAGGCTAATGTGATGTAACTCAAGGTAAACCATTTAATGTGGCTCGAGCTTTGGTTAAAAAAAAAAACAACACTGGGGAATATCCAAATCCTGCAATAGGATTTAGACCTCCCCCCACATTGTGGTGGTGGGGGTGGTCATTCCGGATGTCTATGTGGGATCTGGGATCATATCCCCACAGCCATCCTGCATTCCCTGGGCTGAGGAAGCTCAGAGAGGTAGGAATGGCAGTCCCCTCCTGCCCACCTGCATCCTCATTCTCCTGAAAAAGGTAAGGAAATGTACCCTTACCAGTACTCTCTCCTTATTTATTTATTTATTTATTTATTTATTTACATAATTTCTATCCTGCCCATTTCAGCCCGAAGGCAACTCAGGGCTGCCTACAGACTGGCAGCAACAATTACATGCCATACACACACACACACATACATATATCAGTTAAAAGCAATGAAATCATATCATAAATACATATAAAATCCATAAAAGCTATAAAATCTATAAAAAACCAGTGTCTTCCAAACCAATTCCTCATCCGTTTACATTGTCTTGGCCTTTCCATATTCATATTACGATTTTGTGTTTATCTGGTCACGCTGAAGCTCCAAATGCTTGTTCAAAGAGCCAGGTTTTCACCTTTTTCCAAAAGGTCAGGAGGGAGGGGGCCAATCTATTATCCCTGGGAAGGGAGTTCCATAGCTGAGGGGCCACCACTGAGAAGGCCCTGTCTCTTGTCCCCATCAGACAGGCCTATGAGGTAGGCGGGATCGAGAGCAGGGCCTCCCCAGACAGTCTTAAATTCCTGGAAGGTTCATAGGGAGAGATGCATTCAGATAGATAAGCTGGGCCGGAACCGTTTAGGACTTTATAGGCTAAAGCCAGCACTTTGAATTGTGCCAGGTAGCAAACTGGCAGCCAGTGGAGCTGTGTGCTCCCTGAGCGTCGCTCCTGTTAGTAACCTGGCTGCTGCACGCTGGACCATTTGAAGCTTCCAAACAGTTTTCAAAGGCAACTCCACGTAGAGCACGTTGCAGTAGTCTATATGGGATATAACCAGAGTGTTTTGTTTTGTCATCATTAATTGGTCTTGAAAGGAGGGAGGGAACTCACTCTTCCCAAGATGCTTTGCTCACTGAATGATGATGAAACAGTAAGGGAAGGGCAGTGCTAATAACGGAGATTCCTTTGCTTTGGGGGGGGGGGGGGATAAAGGGCGTGCTGGGGGGTTTGAATCCTGCCCATACCCGGACCCATTAAACCCATTTGAGAGAGGTCACTGATGATCACTCTTAAGAATTACGATTAAGAGGTAAGCACCCTGTCCTTATCTGCATATAATACTGAAAATGGTAATATGCTTGCAAAATCTTCTGCAAAATTGGAAGGAAACAGGAATAGCTCACCTGAAGGGATCTGTGTCTTTGGACATTGCCATGAGGAATGTCTCCTTCTAGGGCAGATTCAACCAAAGAATAGTGTTCTGTTGGCCACAGGTTCTGGGTTTTTGATTTCCATATGGAAAATCTTTTGGTAACTTCATTAATGTACTTCCATATATTCTCCATTTAAAGTGTTATAATTACTGTTTCTGCGGTGCTTTGAGTTTCAATAAATCTGGTCTCTCATCAGCAATTTAGTGTTTATTAAACAAAATAATCCTTTGTCTTATCATCATCACTTTTGATGGATGCGAATTTAAAATGCTTTTTTTCCAAGGCTTGTTTGTATTCATTCAGTTTTTGTTTTCAAGCGGTCAGATAGGGGTAGGTATTCATATGTTTGTAAAAACTACAGACAAGGGCATCTAGGATGTGTGGCCATAGAAACAGAAGTTGTGTAACTGGAAAAGGAGCCCTCTTGTGTTTTAACCTCACTCTCTCCACTGAGAATGTGGAAAACTACTAAAGAGATTAAAGCTTACCAAAATAAGCTGATTCAGTGTGAATGTTTTGGCTGAACTGTTTTAGTTGCTGTTTTATTATAAATATAGCTCTCTATAGTGGTGGGTGGGAAGAATAGTGAGACCAAACTTCCTTAACAGGAGACGGAGAAGGAACAAATCGTATTGTTATTGTTTCACTGCAGAAAGTCAGTGCATCTCTCTTTGCTGTTAGACTGCCTGCTTTTGAAATATTAAAAAAAAATGGTGAAATGAATATTGTGATGAAACATCCGATAACCAGACTCCCTGCATGACAAATTTACTCATATTTACAGTGTATTTTCAAGGAGCCCCTATATATACACACACACACTCATATATTGCTCAGGATTCCAGGAGATACTGGAACAGATGCATATTGGCTGGGTGAGTCTGGAAACCAACATTAAAAAATGTAAAGTGCTTTCATAGCTCTCACCAAAGACATGTAAGCAGTTGATGTAATGTGCTGTTTATACATGTAGCTTTTCCACATTGCTCTGTCTGAACGATGAGCGCATTCTGGTGCGGGTAGAAGGGAGATAACTTTAGTTTTGTATGGTTAGCTCTTCTTTCATTGCTTTCTTGTTCTATCTGCCTTGGTGGAAAAAAACTAGCGTACTTGGCAAAATGTATTTAAAAAGGCAAGAACTGAGGCCTACCACATTTGGACTACCAATAAATTTGATGAACATTTGTAGTCTACAGTAATGTTTTGTATCCAAAGCTATAATGAACTATTTTACATTGCTCTTATACTTACTCCTGCCATATGACCTATGCACTTTATTCTTCTAAATTGTTGTTGCACCAGTCTGCCTACCCATGACGAGAAATTTAATTGTATTATTGGTTGTTGGTTTTGATGCCTGTTTTTATATATTGTTATAATGTTGTCATTTTATTTGTCTTATACTGTTGTTATGCATTTTAATGTGCTACCTTTGCTGATTGGGCTTAGCCCCATGTAAGCCGCCCCGAGTCCCTTCGGGGAGATGGAGGCGGGGTACAAAAATAAAGTTGTTATTGTTATTATTATTATTATGGTTTTCAATATTTAAGTCTCCAAATGTTTGGGATTTCAAACAATTCCTCATCATTGCCTATACTAGCTGAGGCGTTTAGGACTCTCAGTCCAAATATTTAAAGGATTCAAGCCTGAGAACTAGGCTACTTAGAAGTGGTTCCTGTGTCAATGCTTTGTAAAGAAAGAATGAGGGCCGAGCTGTCTTTGATAGCCATTACTGACATTTACGTTGAGAAAACTTCTAAAGAATTCTGGAGTCTTGTAGAATACAGTTCAAAAATGTTTGTACCAATAGACAACTTCAACATTTTTTTTCTTTTCTTTTCTTGTCTTCTCCAGGTAGTGGGGCCACAGCTGTAGTCCAAGCAGCGCTATGCAAACCCAGGCAAGAACGTGTAGCAATAAAAAGAATCAACTTAGAAAAATGCCAGACAAGTATGGATGAATTGCTTGTAAGTAAACAGTGCAGAAAAAAACAACTCGACAGCCAATGTCTTTATTCATATGTGTGCCGAATCATGAAGTTTGACACCCATCTATAAATCTAGTTCACAAATACTGAATTGTGCTACTCAGGGATGTTCTCAGATGTCATCTTTACTACCCATAAATCGTTTGTTGATTCTTGTCTGGTTGAAAGACTCCAAAGCCTCAGTATTTGCTGAGAAATCCGTTTGGTGAATGGCATCTAAATATTGCAAACAGGGCTCTTTTTTAAAAACTCTCTTTCATGTCCATGTGGTTTCTTCTTTTCTTTTTATTTCCTCTTTTTGTTCCGGGGATGTGGTCACACTTGCATTACAGGAACTTGCATCCTGCTATGGTTTAGAACAGTTATTGGGGAATTAGTCAAAGCAAAATGAAGTATTACTCATGTGACCACCATGCCTCTTCTCCCGCTACTTTATAAAGTAATTATGAGTTGATTCCTCGATTTCTTTTCCTTTTTGTATTTACTGTTTTATGAAACCATTTTTAAAACATGCAAATAACAGAAACAAGTGCTGGATAGCTCTGTGAGCAAAGAAAAAGAAAGTTATGAACAAGAAACATTGGCTTTGTCCTGTCAACTATTTTGAAAAGAGGCAAAATGTATCTGCACTATTAAAAAACGTACTGAAACCAAACCTGAAACTAAAAAGATTTCCTCAGTCAAGAAAATGCTACAGAGATTGCTGTCAGTTGTCCTAAGTGCTGAATTCTTGCCACAAATTTCCTCCCTGGCTTTGTTTTTAATAAGACCTGAGCGTTCCAATTGCACCAACTATAGTTTGGTGGTTGAACTTGGTTTTTATTTTTGTCTTCTGATTAGGAGTGCATTTTCAACTCTTATTACAGGTGTATGTGTATGTCAGGAGTGTACATCTGCATGTGGTAGAGCAGGGGTCCTGAAACTAAGGCCCGGGGTCTGGATACGGCCCTCCAAGGTCATTTACCCGGGCCTCACTCAGGGTCAACCTAAGTCTGAAACGACTTGAAAGCACACAACAACAACGACAACAACAACAATTCTATCTCATCAGTCAAATGCAGGCACACACTTCCCATTGAAATACTAATAAGTTAAAATTTGTTAAAATTGTTCTTCATTTTAATTATTGCATTGTTTTAAAGTGTTTTTTACACTACAAATAAGACATGTGCAGTGTGCATTCATGTGTTTTTTTCAAATTATAATCTGGGCCCCCAACAGTTTGAGGGACTGTGACCTGGCCCTATGTTTAAAAAGTTTGAGGACCCCTGTGGTAGAGTCATAGGGGACAATTTGCTCTCTCAGGATCTGCACTGCACTGAAGATAGACTAGAAGTGGAGTATTGAGCTATGCTTTCCATATGACTGATTTAGAATAGAGCTATGAATGTCCATTAGACAAAATGGTTATATGCACCCTCCAGTATTAGAGGCCGTATGAGTATAAAAGGCATTTGTTTGGTAGATGAAATAGGAGAGGATTTTATACTCAGCCTTTGCTTGTAGCATTTCCAATCACATCTCATGGGACGCCACCATAGGAAACAGCATGCCAGGTGAGGAAGGTCTTTAGTTGACCCAGCAAACCTCTTCCTATTGCTCTTATTGTAAAAGCTTTAGATGTGATTTGATCATCTTTATATATGCATTCATGGTGGTTTCTGGAGTGATACCAATTTTGTTAACCGGTTTCTGGTCAAATATCTTGGCAGATGAATGCAGGATGTCGGTTTGAATAAAATATTTGAAAATGTGTTGTTTGATGTCCTCACTCACCCCTTTGCTGAAGGGAAATAAGAGACCACAAGCACTATTGATTGGAGGACTGTACTGTTACTCAATAGCACTTCAGCTGTCCTGTTTAATACAATAGTGGGAAGTGGGCATAGGGCCCTTTTAAAGATAACATAATTGCTCTAGAAGTGATCCAAACCTGAAAGATTAATTTCAGTTAGTTACCATGGGTCCTCTGAGAGGCTACATTTGTTTTGGCCACATGGATTTTTAAAAATGCTGCTCATTTCTAAATCTCTTTTGCATAGCATGATGGCCCCAAGCTTCAGGAGTCTGCTATTTAAGTCTATGCATTCGTTTCTTTCTACTATCAACTTTCTTACTAAACCAGAAATTGTCATTTTTTCCCACTCTTCCTCTTTCTATTTCTCTCTACTTAGTGCAAAGGATACTTGTGTATAGCATTTCATCTCAGTGTCTTGCCCAACTCACTAACTATGCCCATTTGATATGATGTAATTGGTTCACAATTGTGATGCTACATGTCTTGTATGGCAGGATTCCTAAAAGTGTTTTTTTTAAAAAACATACAAAACCTATATAATTGTCTTTTAATATTTGGTGACCTTCCACTTATTTTATGAAGAGATACAATAACAACAGTAACAGCAGTATCAACAACAACCCTGCTCTGCATTGAAGTGGAAGTATGGGTGAAGATATGTCTTTGCCATAGATATAGAATCATAGAATCAAATAGTGGAAGAGACCTCATGGGCCATCCAGTCCAACCCCATTCTGCCAAGAAGCAGGAATATTGCATTCAAATCACCCCTGACAGATGGCCATCCAGCCTCTGTTTAAAAGCTTCCAAAGAAGGAGCCTCCACCACACTCCGGGACAGAGTTCCACTGCTGAACGGCTCTCACAGTCAGAAATTTCTTCCTCATGTTCAGATGGAATCTCCTTTCTTGTAGTTTGAAGCCATTGTTTCCTGTTGTAGTCAACTGTGAATCGCACATATGGTATTCCTGCGCCTGCGCAGGCCAGCTTCGGAACCTTCTAGAAGTCAAAAACACTCCATCCCCCTCCTGGCCCCGCCCTCCTCCCCCCTCGGGTATATAAGACCCCAGTGCGGGGCCAGCCAGCTAGTTCTCTTTTTTCCGCCTGTAGGCATCAGCTAACGAACCTTGATCTTTGGACTGATTTATCGTGCTTTTGACTTGGATTGGACAGCGTATTTCTCCCCCTCTTGAACATCGGACTGGACTGGGCTACTCGTTTGGATCTCCCTTGATTGACAACTACTATCGGCATGGCGACTACTGCCTTAAAGAAATGTGCCGAGTGTCCTAACATCCTCCCGGACACTGACGGACACAATTTATGCCTTTCCAGCTTACGCCTTTCCCCCATTCCCCTTGCTCCTCAGGGTAATAGCAAAGTTACAGAGGGACAACACCCAGTGCATTCTGGTGACGCCCTGGTGGCCTCGACAACCCTGGTTCGCCCCCCTCCTGCACCTGTCCAGGGGTGTCTCCAGGAGACTCACACTCACCACAGACCTTCTAACGTCTCAGAGAGGTCGGGTTCTATACCCGGATGTGCACCTCTTGAGACTCACGGCCTGGCGGATAGTGCCGTTCGAGTAAGACCGGCCCCTGGTCTCTCACAGTCTACGTTGTCAATTATTGAGGCTGCACATAGGCCGTCCACGAAACGGTCATATATCTTTAAATGGTCGAGGTTTCGCGGGTTTGCCGAATCGCGTAACCAGACACCTGAGTCTGCTCCGAATTCAGTGGTATTGGACTTTTTGACTTCCTTATATGAAAAGGGGCTGTCTAACTCTTCACTAAAGTGTTACCTGGCCGCCATTTCCTGGTTTAGACGAAAGTCTGGTCTTCCGTCTTGCTTTTCAGACCCCTTGGTCAAGTCCTTCCTTAGAGGCCTGGGAAATATCAGACCGCCTGTTGCCCCTGTGCCTCCGGCATGGGATCTAGAGTTAGTTTTATCCTTGTTAATGCAGCCCCCGTTTGAACCATTAGTCACGACAGATTTGTCGTCACTGACTTGGAAAGTGGCGTTTCTTGTGGCAATAACCTCAGCTAGAAGAGCTAGTGAATTATGTGCGCTTAGAGTGGACCCCCCATACTTGAGGTTCCACAAGGACAAAGTAGTCCTCCGCACGGATGTTGCGTTTTTGCCCAAGGTTGCCTCGAGGTTTCATACTTCGCAGGAATTAGTTTTACCCTCATTCTTTCAGAACCCTGAGACACCTCTGGAAAAGGGATTACACCTCTTAGATGTGAGGAGAGCTCTGGCCTTTTATATTCAACGGACAGCTGACTTCAGAAAGTCTCCTAGGTTGTTCGTGAAGTATCGCAAAGACACTAGGGGCCTTCCTGTATCCTCCCAACGCTTTTCGGCATGGATCGTTTCGACTATTCGTGCTTGTTATAGGAAAGCTGGTAGGGAACTTCCCCAACAGATACGGGGTCATTCCACGAGGGCCGTGGCTGCTTCAGCAGCTTTTATGAAAGGTGTCCCTTTGGACATGATTTGTAGAGCTGCGATTTGGGCCTCACCCAGTACCTTTGTTTCTCATTATAAATTGGATACTGTGTCCAAAAGACAATCTGATTTTGGTAGAGCAGTACTGTTTTCGGCGGTGGCATGACTCCCACCAGCCATTGTTTAGAGCTTGTTAGTCTACCATATGTGCGATTCACAGTTGACTACGACAGGAAAATATGGGTTGCTTACCTGTAACCGTAGTTTCCTGAGTAGTCACCTGTGAATTCGCACATCCCCTCCCTTCCTCCCCTCGGATGTCATGCCACTCCTTCTGGCTGCGGTGCGGCGGAAGAGAACTAGCTGGCTGGCCCCGCACTGGGGTCTTATATACCCGAGGGGGAGGAGGGCGGGGCCAGGAGGGGGATGGAGTGTTTTTGACTTCTAGAAGGTTCCGAAGCTGGCCTGCGCAGGCGCAGGAATACCATATGTGCGAATTCACAGGTGACTACTCAGGAAACTACGGTTACAGGTAAGCAACCCATATTTCCACGCCTTAGTCTCCAGGGAAGCAGAGAACAAGCTTGCTCCTTCCTCCCTGTGGCTTCTTCTCACATATTTATACATGGCTATCATATCTCCTCTCAGCCTTCTCTTCTTCAGGCTAAACATGCCCAGCTCGTTAAGCCGCTCCTCATAGGGCTTGATCATTTTAGTCGCCCTCCTCTGGACACATTCCAGCTTGTCAATATCTCTCTTCAATTGTGGTGCCCAGAATTGGACACAATACTCCAAGTGTGGTCTAACCAAAATGGAATAGAGGGGTAGCATTACTTCCCTGGATCTAGACACTATGCTCCTATTGATGCAGGCCAAAATCCCATTCCGCTTTGGTTAGACCACACTGGTTTTTTGCTGAAAACTGTTTTTTTAGGGCTTAATCATCCTAGAGGTAACAAAGTGCACATTGAATGAAATAGAGTAGAACCATTGTCAAGCGGACCGTGTGCTTTTTAAATATTATGTGCCACTTTAATTTTGGAGGGAGTCCACTTGCCTACCTCCAGATGTTCTGAGTATGCCCCTGTTTGAGAATATTTTGAACAACAGCATCAACAAATAAACAGATATTTACTCCAAAAACAAAATAGGACAGTAAGTACATTTTGGCAATGGAAGCAATTGCCAAAAAGATGCTAGATAGCTACCTGATGTGAAAGATCCTTCATTAAGTGGAAACTATGTTAGCTAGTGCATGAGGTTCCTTCCAACTCTATGATTCAGTGACTCTAGGATTAATTATAAATTAAAATTATAAAAGAGGCAAAATAATACAAAAATCTGAAGCGTGTGTCTGGAACATACATGAAGTGGTTGACAAATAAGATCTGGAAACTTACTGTGTTTTTCCTTCTGGTCCTATGAGATAACATATCAACTTTGGTGATTCTGTGTTAAATGAGAATTGTATAGCAATTGAAATTGAAATTGATAACAGTTTTCTTATACCAATTACTTAACAAGGAAAAGTTATTTAATTATGATAGAACATAAGATTTTAAAGATTTCAATTCTTTAAAAAGTTTTCATTTCTCCCTGTAGAGCAGTGGTCCCCAACTTTTTTTTTTTTTTACCAGGGACCATTCTCCAGCATTAGTACCAAAACGGTTATGAATCAGTTTGTGGTCAACTTTGCATTTGATAGATGACATCTGATACAGAGCATATGCCATCCAGTAGTTGTCATCTCCTTGCCCACAGAAAACCATATTTAATAAGCCTCAGCAGTATAAGAAGGTTTTGCAAGACCAGTCACTCTTGTTGCAACGGTGTAGTAACGGTGAGGTCACAGATCATGTTTTAGTTCTTGCAGACCACAGGTGGTCCATGGACCACAGGTTGGGAACCACTGCTGTAGAGAGAGAAAGTTATATTTTTCTTATAATATTAGCTCTTTCTACCAGTAGGTCATGTTTCGTCTCCCTATAGCCCCAATGAGCCACATAGTTGGCTCTTGATTTAGGGAAGAATATTGGCAGAATGTTTAGATGCGCATGAGGAGGTGGAAAGGAGAAGTCCTGTTACACAAACAATTGTATGATTTTAGATTTTGCCACAAATCAATATTGTTATAACAAAAATGTTGACCACCGAAAATCTTTCATTGAATAATGAAAATAATAGCTAGTTGACATGGCCCCTGTGTTTTTTAAACCTATAATTTAATAAAAACATTATTATTAAAATTTTCTCCAGGTTCCAAAATGTATTCAACTTGACATTTCTAGCTTCCTTTTCTTCAGAATAATGTGTGTACTTATATAATTTAAACCCTATCTTTCCTTTCTGAAAATAAAATTGTTATGAGATGTCTGTTCTGGAACACACTGAAGTTTCCCAATCTTTATAACTGTATGGCTTCCCCATTATAGCATTAATTGAATTGTTTCCCATGACAAGATACTAAGTCATGTTTTGCATTACTTATAGAAAGAAATTCAAGCCATGAGTCAGTGCAGCCATCCCAACATAGTTACATATTTTACATCTTTTGTGGTCAAGGATGAACTTTGGTTGGTTATGAAACTGCTAAGTGGAGGTAAGTCCATGTGAGTAACTATATTTGTATTGTTTTACTTAAGCAATTTATGCATTTTGGGTACTAAATAAAGTGCAGTATTAAATTTTCCTCCAAGATGGTTCCTAAATTAATGCAGAGCAGCAGCAAGCCAGCACTTCTCCCAATAAAACTATCATCTTGGTATATGGATCTTTTGTAAATCTATGCCAGTTTCTAAGGAAAGTTGTCTGACCCATAAGACCACAATTCAGTTGCAAAGGATGGAGAAATGCTTTTTCATCAGTTACCGAAAACCACTCATGTTCTGGTGAAGTTGAAACTAAGGAGAGCACTGAGATAATTTAATAAACATTTCCACTCCATGTTGAAGGCAATGCTGGTATTTTTTTACTCAACTTGATTTGTGATCTTTTGACATTGCTGGATCTAATTATGTTGTGTGATATGATGTTGTTGTCCTCAGTGTGTAGCTTTACTGGGTTCTTTTAGTAAGTAGTTTTTAAAGGGAAAATAATATGAAGCAACTGTCTTTCTGTGTACGTTTGTGCTTATATACATATGTGTGTGTATGTTAGAAACATTTTGAGACACTTGAAAGACTTTCCATATCAAAAATGTGAATAGGTGAACATTCACCACAACCCTACTACTCCTCACTTCTATGTTAAAATTTAAACAGAGCTTGTATTGCAAAATGAATCCTAAGGAGATACCCTTTAGTGTCTCTTCCGTAACTTTGTTTTTTCTTTCTTTTTTCTTCCATTGTAGGGTCCATGCTGGATATAATAAAGTATGTTGTCAATAGAGGAGAGCACAAGAGTGGTGTTCTTGAAGAATCAATAATAGCAACAATTCTTAAAGAGGTTTTGGAAGGCCTAGATTATCTTCACAGGAATGGGCAAATTCATAGGTATGTATTGTCAAAGGCTTTCATGACTGGAATCACTGGGTTGTTGTAGGTTTTTCAAGCTGTATCACCATGCTCTAGAAGCATTCTCTCCTGACGTTTTGCCTGCATCTGTGGCAAGCATCCTCAGAGGACCTCACAACTTCTGAGGATACTTGCCACAGATGCAGGCAAAATGTCAGGAGAGAATGCTTCTAGAACATGGCCATACAGCTCGAAAAACCTACAACAACCCAGTGTTTCGTTCATAGTATCCATAATTTGATGACCTGGCTCTTGTTCAAGGAAGAAGGTAGAAGTAATGTTTTACATTCTGGTTCTCACTTTGCCTTTCTTTCTTTTGGAAAAGTTATGCTTTTGTTCACTGAGGGATTCTGGGTGCTGTGGTCATTTTGAAGTTTTATCTAGCTCTCCCCTCCTATTTAAACAAAGAAAAAAATCTTCCCAACAAAGGATTCCCCCAGGCAACAACCACCCAGGCTTTGAAGTGTCAAGGCCATTAAATGCTAATCAATCTCTCCATCTCCTTGTCTGTTTGAAGCAACATTCACACTTGCTTCAAACAGACAAGGGTTCTTTCTCCCACCCTTGACATTCCACAGATAGATGAACCCCACTTGCCTAGTTTCCAACAGACCTCACAACCATACATGGCAATACAGCCCAGAAAACTCACAGCAACCCCAAAAAATAAAAATCTATACCCACAACTGCCCTTGATGCACTGTAACTATCTGGAACTATTACAAGAATATGAGAATCTTGATTTTGTTATAGTTCTATGAATTCTATCTGCTTTTTCTTCCTGATTTGTTTTATATTGGAATGTGTGATGTTTGCCTCACTCCATTTAAATTTGGATTGTATTTTTAATGCCCCCCCCCCCCATGTATCCATGCATTAATGCAGCTGGCCTATTGTGCTATCTATTTGAAGAAAAGTAAGCACTTGCACATTTCCCCCCAAATTTTTTTTAGAGAGACAGCATGGCATACTGGTTTGAGTGTCAGCCCACGATACTGGAAAACCAGGGTTCGACTCCCCTCTCAGCCATGGAAATCCAATGGGTGAGCTTGGAGAACTTACACACACTCTTAGCTGAGAGGAAATCAATGACAAACACCCTTACTAAGAAAGTCTCTTGATAGTTTTGCTTTAGTGTCACCCTAAGTTGGAAATTATGCCAGGGAACAAAGCAAGAGCAACAAAAATATTTTTTAGTCATACACATTTTAAAAATTGCATATTATTGTGTGTGTGGTTTATTTCACAAAATATTTTCTAAACTCTTGAATTCTTGAAGTGATTTAGGTTATTTTCTTAAAGTGAATGTTGGGGGATTCATGAAAGACTAAAGACTGTTAAACCCAAGGAAATCCTTTTTTTTTACCCTCATATTTGTAAGGAAGTTTTGTGCTATCATCTGTAGCTCTGCAAGGCATTTTAGCTCCAAATGCAATCCAAGTATCAATGTACAGTGAGCAAAATAATCATCATTTTGAGTAGTTTTTAATTTATCCTTCCTTGTGTTTCTCAACCAACCCTCAAGGGTGTGATCGTATCTTCCTTCAACTTGAATTAAATGCTTTCCTATTTGTGTTCATTTTATAGGGATTTAAAAGCTGGTAATATTCTTCTGGGTGAAGATGGCTCTGTACAAATAGCAGGTAATAATGATTATCATCAACGCTTTGAAATGTGTATGGAGAAACCTGAAATGTGCAAAAAGATCCAATTAAAATTTTTAAAAGGTTGAAGTTAATCAGAGTTCAGAACAAGGTGTTCACTGGATGACAAACCACAAACTGAAGAATTCAGTGTACTTTGTAAAATATTTTGGTTAACCTTGCAAGGCGTATAGGATTATGCAGGAGTTATAGCTGAGGGAGTGAGCTGGCAATGAACTTAGTTGAAGGCTTTAGAAAATCCGCTTCCTCCTCCTCCTCCTGCTTGACATGTGAGCACTTTAGTGACCTTACAGGTGCGTCAGAATGTTCACTGCAAAAATATAGTGAAATACTTTTTAATTATCAGAATTCTATTTAAAATCAAATCATTGGGGGCTGTGACAGGTTCCAAATAATGTGTGGGTCTTCCCTCCTGTGCATCCCTTTTCTGTGGGTCTTCCCTCCTGTGCATCCCTTAAAACTGGTCCAAAGGTTTTTTCCTGGATTGAGCACACACAGCTGAACACACAGCATTGGAAACTACATCCTTATTCCTTGTTCCAGCACAAAAGTGGATAACCTTTCTGGCCCTAAGGGCTAAATGTGGTGGGTTGGAGAGAGAACTGTATACAAGGGTATGCATATTTATTTATTTTTATTTACCACATTTGTATATCGCCTCTCTCAGCCAGAAGCGACTCATACATCTGCATAAGTTCACATATTTCTGATCCTATTAATATCTGGCACACAGGCAGGGAGCAATTTTCAGGGGATCAGAAAGTAGGCACAGAGAGATATGCAGATCTCCCCCCTCCCCCATATCCTATTGGAAAACACATCTTATTTGCATGAAAATTTCAACTGCTTCCCCTCCCATCACAACATTCTTAATAGCAGTGTTTAGACAGTGGTAGAGAGATAAAGTTTTACTCCATCCCCCTGAACGTTTAAAAAAATGCAAAATTGTTCACATTTTTTCAATTTATTTTTTAATTTATGCCAAAAATTATTGTGGAGCATGTGGAAATTTGCAAAGAATCTTTACATCCCTAAGTGGCAGTCATTTTCATGCTGCTGACTACTGAACTGGACTATGGGGGAAAATATGGGGTGAACCCAAGGTTTGGGTCCCCCTTTCAACCCATTAGGTCCATGTTTGACCTGCAGACCTTAGGTTGCTTATCTGCGCTCTGATGGGAGAGAGGAATTGGATGCTGTTTTTCCTCACCAGTGAGTAACTCTCAGAACTTACGGGAAATGTTTTCTCCTGACAAGCCATGACCATTCAATTTTACATCTCTTTGCTGTATTACCTGATAAAAGTGTGCCAAACTAATTCAGTATGACTTCCAATCCATTGTATGTTCTGTGTCTTGTGATGAAGGAAGATCGCATACATACTAACACACACACACACATTTTACACTTACACTTGGCACAGACTTTGGACTTGAATTATTTCACTTGGCAAAGCTGTGTTCCGTGACTTGTTTAAATCCAGGTACATAGCTGTGTGTGTAATTTTGTTCTGCAAGGCAGGCAGAGCGGTAAGGAATTTGGCCAACGACTGAAACTCCACCTCTGGAACAACAGAAGTTGGCTTCCATTGCATTCCCCTCATGCACTAAGCCTTCACCAGGTGTTGTTCTGCAGCTCAAAAGATTATTATAGTATTAAAAGCTTGGAGCAGTTTTGTTCTTTTGTGGTGCATGCATATGGGGAGGGGAAGAGATTGTGTTTGGTTGAAAGAAAACTGAGATTTTCTACGGAAGCTAAAATTCACACCCACTATTGGCATGTGACCTGGAATTACTTTTAACAATGCCATTTTTAGGTGGAGAAGCATCTTCCTTTACTACTTTCCCCTCTTATCACAGGGCTGAAAAACTTGAAATACATGTGGTGTTCAAGCCAGGTGAGTCCTAGTTTGAACAATATCTTGGCTGAAACCATAATGTGGTCAAGGTTTTTAGTCCATAGCCCCTTTGCAGCAAGAACAGTAACAGCAAGGGCCTTTAATAAATAATAGTTTCCTGTTTGACCAAAGTGAGAAAAATCAATTTCAGACTAAGGCAGAAGATTGAATCATAGTTGCTTTAATATTATGGCTTGCTTTGAAGTTGATACCTAGGGTTTTCCACAGCAAAGCATGAATATTTCTAGAAAGGTAGCTAAGATTATTTGTTGCAGCAAAAAACCCCCCAAAAACCAAAATATTGTGGTGTACTTTGAAGATTAACATATCTGTAGCTGTGGAGGGCAATGAAACAAAATGCCACCAATAATAGTTGTGCAAAAGTAAGTGGTCATCCGGGTAGCACAATGGGTTAAACCTTTGTGCCGGCAAGAGTGAAGACCGGCAGGTTGGAAGTTCGAATCTGGGGAGAGTGCGGATGAGCTCCCTCTATCAGCTCCAGCTCCCCATGCAGGGACATGAGAAAAGCCTCCCACAAGGATGATAAAACATCAAAACATCCGGGTGTCCCCTGGCCAACGTCCTTGTAGACAGCAATTCTCTCACACCAGAAGCAACTTGCAGTTTCTCAAGTCGCTCCTGACATGAAAAAAAATCATGATAGACAACTGATGTGTTAGTTAAAACTCGCTTCCCACTGAGGTAAGATCGGCTCCGTCCCTCCTGTCATTTTGGAAGAAATTGAAGTTGTGGTTCTGGGACCAGGCTTTTGGACAACAGACATAGATAATAGGCCTGGGTAACAACGGAAAAATTTGTTTCTAAAATCGATTCGTTTTTTGGGGTTTTTTGCATTTCGATATTTAAAAGAATTCCGAAATTTTCCTTAAAAAAAGTTCGATATTTACGAAATTTCGTAAATGGTAAAAAAATTACAAAACAATAACGAAACAATAACGAATCGATTCGTTAATGGCGGCCGCGATCGCGCAATACACTAAAAAAACTTCTGAAGCTTCCCTCTCCCTCTGTTGTTGACTGTTGGTGTGATATTATAATTTTTTTTCACTAATTAAACAAAAAACAACTATAAAACTTGCCCCAGACATGCGGAAATAATAACGAAACGACCTCAAACCAATAACGAAACGAATACATAACGAAATACGAAGCATTTACGAAACGAATTGAAAAATTCGTTTCATTTTTAAGTTGCTCCAGAATGGTTCGTTATCGCTTCATTAACAAAAAAAAAACGAATTTTTAACGAATTACGAATTAACGAAACGAAACCGCCCAGCCCTAATAGATAACACTTTGGACATGGAATTGGATATAGAATTGACTGGAATGATGATACGGCTCTTAATACTGTTTTAATGAATGTTTTATTTATTTATTTATTTATTTGCTTTATTTTTATACCGCATTTTTCAGCCTAATTCGGCGACTCAATGCGGTTTACAGTACAATTTATATAACAATCACAATTAGTTAAAACACAACATACATAACAGACAATACAAACAACACAACATAGTCATCAACGCCTCAGTGAAAATCAGATTCCGTTCTCATAATCCTTCTACCATTTCCTTGTTCATTTATACCGTCTTCCTGAGTTCAGTTGCATTGTTAGCCGAACGCTTGTTCATAGAGCCACGTCTTGACCTTCCTCCGGAACGCCAGCAGCGAAGGGGCCTGCCTGATGTCTACGGGTAGGGCATTCCATAGCCGAGGGGCCACCACCGAGAAGGCCCTGTCCCTCGTCCCCGCCAACGCGCTTGTGACGCAGGCGGGACCGAGAGCAGGGCCTCCCCGGACGATCTTAATGTCCTAGTCGGTTCATAGGTGGAGATGCGTTCGGAGAGGTAAGTGGGGCCGGAACCGTTTAGGGCTTTATAGGCTAAAGCCAGCACCTTGAATTGTGCCCGGTAGCAAATTGGCAGCCAGTGGAGCTGGCTCAGCAGCGGAGTGGTGTGCTCCCTGAGTGCCGCTCCCGTTAGCAACCTGGCTGCCGAACGCTGGACCATCTGAAGCTTCCGGGCAGTCTTCAAGGGCAACCCCACGTAGAGCGCGTTGCAGTAATCTATGCGGGATGTAACCAGAGCGTGGACTACCGTGGCCAAGTCAGACTTCCCAAGGTACGGGCGCAGCTGGCGCACAAGTTTTAATTGTGCAAATGCTCCCCTGGAAACCGCCGAAACCTGGGGTTCCAAGCTTAGCGAAGAATCCAGGGTCACACCCAAGCTGCGAACCTGCGTCTTCAGGGGGAGTGCGACCCCGTCCAGCACAGGCTGTAACCCTATACCCTGTTCGGCCTTTCGACTGACCAGGAGTACCTCTGTCTTGTCTGGATTCAGTTTCAATTTGTTAGCCCTCATCCAGACCGACACAGCGGCCAGGCACCGGTTCAGGACCTGAACAGCCTCCTTAGTAGTTGGTGGAAAGGAGTGACAGAGTTGGACGTCATCTGCGTACAGATAACACCGCACCCCGAAACTCCGGATGATCTCTCCCAACGGCTTCATGTAGATGTTAAACAACATGGGGGACAATATTGAACCCTGCGGGACCCCACAAGACAATGGTTGTGAGGTCGAGCAGTTGTCCCCCAGCAACACCTTCTGGGTACGATCCTTATTGTTTTAATTGTTATTATATTGCTCTGTTATATGTAGCGGCATCGAATTGTTGCCAAATGTAAGCCTTCCTGAGTCCCCCTTCAGGGGTTGAGAAGGAACGGGATAGAAATACAGGAAATAAATGAGTAAATAAAAAAATGAGGAAATTAAATTCTTGGGACTCAAATACAATATTTAAACATAGCTAGTTTTGAACTGATGATGACTCCATCTCAAATTGTCTATCACTCTCTTGTCAGAAAAAGTGTGTTTAATAGCAGAGATGCATCACGATCTGGTATATGATATTTCCATTCCTCAAATCCCAAACTCTTCGATTCTTTTTTCTTCTCTTCTCACAATGTGTTATTGTATTACTTAGACCATTAATATGCAAGCCACTAACTGAGAGGACTTGGTTTAGGAAGACAGACAGCAGCTACTTAAATGACCATCAT